GGTCGAATCTGACAACAACTAGAGAATGAATTTTTCGTGTTCTTTTCAACTAGGAATATGTGGTTATAATTATAATAGTTAACGTTACAGCATCAGTATAGCGTTACCACTACAACGTTAGAAACCACATATTCCAAAAAAAGTCATTCTCTATTTGTTGTCAGATTCAACCCATAGTGATTGAATTAACGTTGAGCATAAAATGCCCCCAACACCTCAAAACACTCTGAAAAACAAGCTGTTTAACGTCAAAAGGATCATTCCGATGCTTTCCTGTCCTATGCAAATGAGGATAGACCCCTGTTTTCGCAATGCATTCTGGGGATGGGAAACTCGTGAATGCGGGTCTCTGGTAGAGTTTGACGCAGCTGGACAGGCGTTCAAATATCAAAACCCTAACCAAGGCCATAACGAGAGTCAGGAACATCATAACGTTTGATTTGGCTCGTACTTGATACCTGACCTCACTCATTTGCCGTGGTTCCTTGTTCAACCTCTGCAAGCGACCCGTGGTTTATGATGTCATTAAAGGCTAATACCAACCCTCCCGGCCCCTTCAAAGTACAAAGCTTTTCGTATCACGACATGTTAAATATGGCCTACTTTCGGGGACAATTAAGACACAGCACCGAATAAAATATCTTTATCCTCTACCAGGCTTCGGGAGGCGGCTGGAAAGAGTAGAAATTGTCCAACTAGAGAGTAACATACCGGGGGAGTTGGTCCGCTTGAGGGTACATTTTCGGGTGCGGCAAAATGTACTTTCAAGCGGGCCAACCACCCTCGCATGTTATCTCTCTTTTTGGCCAATTTCTACTCTTTCCACCCGCCTCCCGAAGCCCTGATAGAGGCCTAAATTGTTTTACTGGCGTGCGTATTTCATAGACCGTACATGGGTGCACTGAAGTTCTGTTAAAACGTTGCATTGAAATAACATCTTGTCGTGACATTTTAACTTAAGAGCGTCAAAAATAGCCCGAGAAGTAATTTCTACACACGTCATTGTTAAAGCTCAAAAGGGACATGAAACAAACACAAATTTCCCAAATTTTGTTTCAATAAACGCTAATAACAAGCTTTGCATTCAAAGGACAAACGACGTTTGATATAGATAACCAAGACGCACAAACTCAAGCAACTGGATATGGTTTTTGAAACGGTCAGAATTTTGTTTTTATTTTTTATCTTATCAATCATACACACAAACAAAATACAGGACGTAGTGGTGGCGCATTCAGGTTGGGAACGTATTTTGACACCACCACTAAATAAATATATTCAAAATATTTACGATGTTGGTAAGACGTTTCAGGTAGCATCCACTACCTTTCTGCCGTCACTGGTAGTGGCAGGTACAAAAATGTACCTGAAACGTCTGACCGTTTCCAAAATCATATCCACTTGCTTGAGTAAATGTTTGTGGCGTATCTTATTACCTGGATGTCTAACCTTCACCGACGTATCAAGACAGAATTAGACAACTTTTCGTAGAAAGCGAAAATCTATTAAATCGACGTCGTCACTGAGACAACGTGTTAACATATGGTTCTGAAGTGACAGGATCCCACATACAAGTTACGTAGAGGACATTGCACTTAAAGCGATGTGCTGAATGTAAAATAACCTACTAGTAGAAAGGCCCGTGAGTGTGTTTGGCAAAGATTTCTTTAGTAATTTAAAAGACAATTCTATATATGTGAAAATAGCTTTTGAGAAGGGTTTGTTACGCTTTGACACCGCCACTTGGATATATCGATTTTAAGTGTATTGCAAATACATGCTCGAGGACACTGGGTACAAATAACGTGTGAAGAAAGAAAATACAATGATATAAGTGACTACGTCTAACATTATACTATATTCTACAACATACGCGGTACTGGTTCTTTTTTGAGGCATTGGAAGACGAATTAACCCACTTCTTTTATCACACTGTGTGTGGAACGGAGCGGAGACAAAGCGTTCACGGATGGATTCCAGGCTAATTTGTAACGGCAACCGCGAAAAAAATCAAGGCGGATGGCACCCAGGCTAATAATATGTGGGTTCTTTCGATCATATTAATTATGTAGCCTGGATAAATTATTACCATCGTTCGTCGCATTGTCGTATTGGACGAATCCAGGAGACGGCGTGACGCAGTGTCGTTAATATATGCAGCCCTCCAGACAAGTAACACCTCCTCTGCCCACACTGTGTCCTCTGCCTGTGCGCGGTAAGCCGTGTAAGATCCGCACAGCGCGCTAACGCGTATTCCCAGGTGGTCGACGTGAAAGTTGCTCTCTCTCTGCCACTAGAGCGGCGAACACCCCGTCGCTGTCTTCGCGCGTGCGGCGCTCTTTCTCCTCGTAAACGAAGATCTTCTTCAGGTAAGCTTTCAACATCTTCCTCTTTCGCGAATTCAGTCTTTCCAGTTTTGTACCTGAGAGGCCTTGTTGGCCACATAATCCCAGTTTTAAAATTGTATATTTAAACCATTAGCCGATAGTGGAATTTGATACTGAGCCGAGAAAGGTCACTAAGCCGGTCTCCCAAGAGACTAATCTTTATAATTACGCCAAAAAACAGCTACACAAACAACTGGATATGATGTTGAAATTATATCCAGTTGACCTTATTTTTAAGGTATCTCTTTTTTTTAACCTCCTTGGTACCAAGAATCAAGAAAAATAATATGTACGGTTGTAGATTTTCCAAAATCATATCCAGTTGCCTGAGTAACTGTTTTTTTTGCACCGCTTATCTTATTACCTGGATGTCTAACCTTCATCGACGAATCTATTAAATTGCTCGCAGATTTGCCAACAACTATTCTACAACATATGCAAGGTTAAAGCTCACAGTCATCGACATATTCTCTACGCACGACTCTGATATGTTGTCAAGCTTTTCTACATGTTGTAAATTTTCACTCATAGGCGACTCGCTGCGGCAATGACACAAGGTAAGCAACAAAGTGGCAAGCCCGTTGGGTTCAATTGGCCTCCGTCAGGCCTTTCTACGGGAATAAGGATCGTAGAATTCGGCAAAAAGTACAGTAAAACTGGGCAGAGGAGTCAGGCCGCGGAAGGTTGTTTCTTTCCCTCCTAGTCAAGCCCCAAGGCGGCCAAACTCCCCTGGCAAATATTCTCCTACATATATAGCCTGCGTAGTTAGTCTGGTAGAGACTAGGGTGCAATAGTGTAAAACATCATCAAGGAGGTTTAACCGCCTTGCTATCAAGAACAATAATGTGTACGGCTGTATAGATGTGCATTCCCGATTTTTGATCGGTGAGTCCAGCAAAGGTCTATGATATCGATAGCGATCCCATATACACGATTCATCCAAGTGGCGGCATTACTAGTCAAATGACCAATGCTCTAGAAAACGGCAAAATTGGCGTAACGGGCCCCGGGCTCCCCCGTGAAACTACTCTATACTTTCATACTCGTGGCTCAAAGGTAGTTGACTGCAGGTCCATGAAATTTTGCATGCTTAAAGAACAAGCTTTAGCGCTTAGCCATGATTGGTGTTAGCTGTGAAACACGTCTTCACTGAACGTTACGCATTTTATGGCAAGTTTGTATGCTAAGAGCGCTAGCGAGCATATATGGCGTTTATGAATCAAATTTGTGTGCTGATTTCCATGGATTTTTATATTTCATTTGATATGTTGTCGTCTCGACTGGTTGACGGCGCAGCATCGGAGTTGAAAATGGTTACTACTAGTATGTTGAAGAAAAGACGCCTCACTTTTCAAACACAATTGGAAAGCGCAAAAAATGGGACTTGATGTATTTATCTTTGTCACGGAGTCGTACCATCTCTCTTGCAACTTACATGCTGATTCCCAACAACCTTAGCTTTTATTTGAAGCATACATTTTGTAGTTGAAAGAACCTTAGCCTTTATTTGATGCATAGTTGATCGTGAATCCTAATCTCAATGCTAAGCCTAACCCTAACCAGAGCAGTGCTAACCACAGATAACTGACTACTACTGAAATATCATGTCAAATTTTCTTAAGTTGAAACATCGTTATTTTACACATTTTCTTGCCCTATAAGCCTACCTGGGTTCATAATGACATTTAGGGAGTAAAGGAGCAACGTCGTTGCGCCGCAAAAACGTGTTGGAAGCTGCTGAAGATACCCGAACAAAATCCGCTGTTTGTCACATTATGTGTGCCTTTTAGGAGCCTCTTAAAAACACAGCGGGCCTGGCGCAACTTATTCTCGCGCTGTGCCGAGTCGCCGGAAAGCGAAATAGCGACGCATATATGTTAAAAGCTACTGAAATCACAATCTGGATGAGAAAATTTGAGTTTTGCCGCAAAAGTCTTACATAATATCGCTTTTAAACTCCAGGAACGGCGTAGCAAAAATCAGCCAGGAGCAGAAATTTGGCGCGACGCCTTAGGTTCAGACAGGTGCACGAGTACTGCTTCCTCCTTCACATGTTTGTTCGTGGAATGATGTACTTACCCGTGGCCTTGTGACGCAAGCAGGCCTTATAGCCCGTCTAACTGTGAACGTTAACGACTTTCAGTCGTGTGCACTTGTACCTTCTGTCGATAATGACTGCCGAGAGCTTATTACAAGTGACAAGCGTGAACATTAGATCTCAATCACTAACCGTATGGAAGAACGTAATTTTCCCCTGTATCCTGTGGTAAGAATCATATAATGAGCTACATTTGCTCTCATAGTATGTAATCACTCACTAGATGTGATGATTATCGCCCACGTGCCACTCGTTCTACAAGGCTGAACACAGCTGAATCAAGATAGAGTTAGTACTTGTACTAGATCGTGATTAGGCATTGTCATTAGGATCAGATTGTACTTTTCCACCGCTGCAACAAGTAATAGCAAGGAGCTTCACGGAAGATATAACGTCCTTAGTTAGCTTCAACAAGATATAACGTCCTTGGTTATAGTCAAACTAGGTGGCAGAACCGGCGGTAGAATTTCCGCGCATATGCACGTCGCTTGGTAATAATTGGGTGGTGCCTTTTCTTTCATCCACTAAACCTTCATCAACCACGTAAGGGTAAGTAAAATAGCCCATCCACTGAAAGATTCTAGTGCATAACAAAGACATGTGTATAGTTCAGCAAAGCTTCAGTCATTGGCAGAAAAGCAACGTCTGGAAGGTTGAATTTGTTTGCGCTTCACAGGTTTGAGACATGTAACTTGAGGATCCAGAGAAAAGATGTCAGGTCTGTTCGAAAACGGATCGCTCTTTGGGATAGGCGACGTCCTACCCACGGAGCTTGTCCCTGACACCAGCACGGAGGCCTACAATTACAACGCCTCTGGTAAGGATGAGTTGACCGGCAACCTGTCGCTGAGCACGAGCGGCACTACAGCGGCGGTCGGAGCGCCAGACCTCGGGCCCGAGGCTTATGTCGTCCCGACCGTCTTCGCCATCATCTGCGCTATCGGCATAGCAGGAAACGCGCTCGTCATCTATGTAGTGTGGAGGTAAGTCTCAACTTGAGACTGTCTCATCAATTCATTATGTCTTAAACTGCGTGTGTTATTCCCCAATTTTAGAATGTCTCTTAGTTTAAAGGCCTAGTGATATTCGTCAAAGCATATCCGCTTGGTTTTGTCTAGACCGGATGTTCTTGCAATAGTACGGCGTACTAGCCTGGTGTCCAGTCGATCGCGGTTGAGGTGGGTTTTCTTCGGGGCTGCAGGAGCTCTTCCCCGCCTGACTTAGGTAGATTCCCCCGGTTTTTCACGACGGGAGATTGATTAGCCCTACCACAATTGAACAAAAAACCTAACGGGGGAACCTAGCTGAGTCGGGCGGGGAAGAGCTGCAGTCCCGAAGAAAACCCACCACAACCACGATAGACTGCATGGACACCAGGCTAACGGCGTGCATGTATGATGCGCTTCCTAGAAGTTTCATACGGTCACTGCCAGCAGTTTTGATATGTCATTCTTATTCTTGTACTCACGAAACAGTACATGGAAGTACTTAGTGTACGTACAATAAGTGTATAGTAACGATGCGCGCTCTCTAAAGAGCGCCTTTTAGGTCTAGTGTAGGGCCACGGGCACACAGAATTGTGCGGTGTCAATCGTTATTAAGGCGTCTTACTTCAACTATGTTTTTGTACAGTGCTTAGCAAAACGAGGGCATTGGCCTTTTTCTTGCACAGATGGTATATAATGGAATCCCTTTGCTGTACTTTGCAGATCAAATGCATTCATTTTTATGTCCAATACTTTAAAGTAGGCTAAGAGTACATGGGTGATACTTATCTGGATTATTGACCGTTATTCTTTAAGGAGAAGCGGTGATGTAAAAGAGTGTTACACGACGCAGCTTTTCTTAAGCGAGGGTAATAACCCGCCGTACGTGTTTTTTTATCCGTACGTCCACGCCCGCCACGTTTTTCTGGAAACGTGGGGAAGGACTGGCATAAGCAGAGGTAGGGGAGTACGTCAACGTACGTCAATCGCACGGCACGCGCGTCGCCCACACTGGCCTGTACGAGGGGTCAATCCGAAGCCCGAACGCAGAGAACGTGATACGGCGTGTCTGCGTGCTCCCCAATTCGTTGGATTCCGTACGGAAGCAGTGCTCACCACTTACGGATTCAAACCAAAAAAAAATTACGTAGACAGCACGCAGTTGTACATACGGCGGGTTGTGCCCCGCGGGTTACCGGTTGTGCCCGGCTCTCCAAGAGACCTTGGTACGTGGAGAGCGGCATCTGCTGCCTCAAGATTCCAGCGTCTCGCGGTTTCCTCGTAGCACAGGTCGATCGATACTGCGAGTCAATGGCCTATCGATCCACCGTCCTTAGGGCCTGGTCACACTTAAATTTGTCGTACGATCGTTACACGATCGCTAGCCTAGTGAGAAATTCTTGAGATAGTCGTGTGTGTGTTGTACAAAATTTGACTACATTCGAGGCGTCGATTTTCTAATCCTAGTAAAGCCTAGGTCACAATTCAAAATCGTGGCCCGCGCGGCGTCTCGGCGGGCTGTTTTTTTTTTTTTTACACTATTGGACAGGAGCTGGACGGAGACTGGCGGGGCTCCCGACGTCCATCTTTGACCCCGCGCGGTCGCCGAGTTGATTTTAACTCGAGCTTTAAATCACCCCGGGTTCCGGTGCCCGGCGAGAAAAATACGCCGGGACCAAGCCGTAGCCTACATGTACATGTGAACATGACAGCCGACATCCGCCCATCTGGATCGGGAACATGCCGCGCAAGCCCCGTTGGAAATGTGACTCCAGTTTAACATCCCATCAGGAGCTCCACGGTGCCTTTGCGGTGCTGAGGTGCCCTCCCGTCCAGGTCTAATTGCGCACGCCGGAGAATTTTCACAAACCGTTGAGGAGGCGGTTTGTCAAAGAAACGGGCAGTTAGAAAAACGTCACGATTTTCCCTGCCGACATCTGCTTGGCGAATAGTATCCTCCTCGGTACTACGGATTCTGGTGCTAAGTCGACTGGGCATCGCTGCTCTGATTAGAAAGGAAAATGCCGCAGTGAATCGTGTTCGTATCGGGTGGAATATAGGCCATATTACGTTCACGTTCTCCACAATCTCTCGCTCTCGCTAAATGGCCCCTCAGTAGAACGGGTCGCCAGGACCGCGCGATTAAGTCAGGATAGAAAGCTTTCTAATGCCTTGATAATAGGACTACTGGTGTACTTTTCTAGAAGAATACATCTGCGGTCGATTTTACATTGTTGCATTTGCGTCGATTTTCTTAGCCTCGTAACATCCCACTGTATCTCTGCGGTGCTGGGAGTGTTGAATGCCCACCCAGGTTTATTAGAGCACTACGTTGATGGTTTCAATAACTTAGCTGTCGGGCGGCAATGATAAAAATTGCCGGATAGAAAGACAACTTGTAAGAAAAGACTTATGATTACATGTATTTGGACTGGGCCCGGTAATGCTTCGGTCCCAATTGCGCCGGTGCCCGTCGGGGATGTAGCCCCTGCCGATCCCGCCCGATTAGTCCCACAATCAACTCCTGGTGTGCCACTCTCTATCACAGGCGTAACACTCCTACCGGGCGGTCTTTTGTACAGGGCAGGGGAAAACTATAGTACTATTAAAGGCCCGAAGACAGCCTGCCCCAACCACGAGATAGGATACCAGGTTACGGCTAGTGGGTACGGTATTGACAGCTTCACGGGGAATTCACGAATTTCCTCCCTCGGTGGCCGGTGCGGTAGTATGCGGCGGAAGGAGAGGGATGGGCTCCGCCTTACAATATCTTACACGTAAACACAATCCAAAAAGGCTATGGGGACATACCTTTTGGCCTAGCTCTTGATATCATTGTTTGGTTGTCAAGTAATGTAATTTGTATAATGTATGTTTTCTGTCACGATACAGTTCTATAGTATAAGACTCACGCCTTCTTCCAATATCATGTCCTAAGCACAGTAGATTAACAATCCAAAGAGGCTATGCGGCATTTACCTTTTTGCCTATTAATGCCCTTGTTTGATTGTCGAATAATGTACTTTTTATGAAGTGGATATTTATCGGTCAAAACATATATTTACTTTACTTTACGTCATTTTCATATCATTTTTCCCATTGTTTTAGATATCAGCAGATGAAATCAGTGACCAACTACTACATCGTGAACCTGGCCATTGCCGACATTGCCTTTCTGGTCTGCTGCGTGCCGTTTTCGGCGTCAGTGTTCGCCACGACGAGCTGGAACTACGGACTGTTCATGTGCAAGTTCGTCAACTACTTCATGCTGGTAGGTGCACGTGTGTTTGTTTGTGTAATGGCGCGGTCAAGTTCGTCTTGCAATTTATTTCGCCGTAGGGCACTCCTTATGCTTCTTTAATGTCGGTGCCCGTCGGGGGTGTAGCCCCGGCCGGGCTCTGCAGTCTGGGGGCACCGGTTGCCGTAATCACAATTAAAAGTTTCCTTCAATGGCATTTTGGCAATTTTGTGACCCTCATTGGTCAGTCTCCGGCCGGGACCCAGCAGGTGCTCTGACGATGTCCTGTAGTGACCCACGCGGGACCACGTAGGAGTCACGCCCGACAGTGTAAAAACAATTATAATAAAAACAGCCCGGGAAGTACCCGGCAAGTGCCATTTTTCTAATTGGGACCGAAGCATTAGCCAGGCTATGACAGAAACAAGCGTCACAACAAGGATCTACGACTGGAGCATAACAGCTGAGTTCTGTAAGACGCATTCAAAACGGTCCCATGTGACATATCAACCTGGGTAACTGCCTTTCGGTGTGCGTAACGCGCCAGCTACTTTTCAACCACGTAGCTGCTGTTTTGATATTATCAGACTCCTAGCCCATCTCTTAATGTTAGCTTTTGATGCTATCTGGTGGGGAGGTTTTACGACTTGTTTAATGAGATGAGGTGGTAATTAAAGGTGTTTTAATTACGCCTAAATGTGGTGTACGGGGTGAGCGAAAACAAAAATAAATAAATCCGCGTCGCTTCGCTCTTTTAGGTGACCGTCTTAGCGACCTGCTTGACCCTGGCTGCCCTGAGTTTCGACCGCTACCTGGCCATCGTACACCCGGTCAGCTCTCTGGTCTACCGCACCAAGGGCAAGGCCAAGGCTATCAGTGCCTGCATCTGGCTGGGTAAGATCATATCCTTTGCAATACAAAATATTTGTACGTAACGCTATATGTTCCTTTTTCTAAGGTAGGTCGCAGATCAAATTAACAGTTTAGCAAGGAAAATTGACTGAATGTTATCTATTGTCTCGTTGGTAACCGTCTGTCTGCAAAGCCGTTTCAATGTAAGAGAAAACATATTGGAAAGAAAGAATGAGTGACTGAGTTCTTCCAAGTTTTCTTACAGTAGATTAATTGTTTTCTTCATATCAGGGTCGTTCCTTGCGTCTATCCCCGTGGCCGTGTACCAGACAGAAGTGAAGGGGTACTGGTACGGACCTCAGACATACTGCAGACGGCAGTTCCCGAGCCTGGAAGCCGCCCAGGGCTTCATGGTAAGTGTAAGATGGCTTGCTGGCTGGTTGGTTTATCCTCTCATACCAGACCCATCGCATGTAGATATCTAACAACAGCCCTGGCGTACCGGCCTGCGTGCCGTTCTTCTCGCTTCTGACGCGCGTCCCCAACCAATCACGGCCTCCCATATTGTCAGGGGGTAACGTGATTGGCTAGTAACCTTCCCTTCAACATTAAGAGCGAAAATATCTGATTGGCTGACACCCCTGCCAGAGCTAACGCAGGGACGGAACAAAGGGCAATACACCAGGGTCGTTGCTTCATGTTATCTAAGATTTTCACTATTTCAAACATCGCTGCTTTACACATTTTGTTGTGCTATAAGCCTACCCTGGGTTCATAATGACATTTGGGAGTAAAAGATCAACGTCGTTGCGCCGCGGCCGCAACAACGTGTTGGAAAACTGCCAACTCGTCGGTTTGTTTACCCCTCCTAAACATACAGCGGGCCCGGTGCACCTTATTCTCGCGCTGGGCTGAGTCGCCTGAAAAGCGAAATAGCGATGCTAATATGTTGAAAGTTATGAACAATGACTATCTAGATGAGAAAATTACAATTATTTATAGTGTTGGCGTAAAAAATCTCACATAATATCGATTTAATGTGATATAAATGCATAGCAACAAAAGATCTACGGATTTTCATAAGCGTCCTCTCAATCGTGTCACGTGTTCTCGCAGGTCTACACCGTCCTGATGAGCTACGTCATCCCGCTCATGGTCAGCGCCACGTCGTACATCCTCATCCTGCTGCGCCTGCGCCGACCTGCCGTCCAGCCGGAGGGCAACAACGCCGTGATCCAGGCGCACCAGGCCCAGCAGAAGCGCAAGGTAAGTGTAACTCCCTCTGAACCTCAGGGACCTACCCCTACCAGAGGAGACTGGAGGCTCTAGGATCCTCTAGGACTTCCCTCTCTTTAGTATCGTAGACGGAGGGGAGCCAATGTAAGTTAATTAGCAGAAGTATTTCAGACGTCAATTATGTAGAATTCGATGGAAAACATATTGTTTCTGCTTAGTTTCTTCTTCCTCTTCTTCTCCAAACAAATATGGACAATGACCTGAACCAGACGTCTGTCACCATGGTAACTAGTACTGTAGCTACACACTGTGGTGTTGGGTTACATTTTGTAGCAGGGTAGCAAGCCTGCTCACCATACATACATATACATGAATTTGGCTTTGAGAATAAGCAGAGCAGTAGTTTATTGGGCTAGACCAGGTGGAGGTGAATATTATGCATTTGCTTCGTTACGTTTCTAAATTCTAGTTGATAATGAAGTTTCTTCTTCTCCTTCAACAAAAGGTGGCCATGATGGTGGCCACAGTGGTGCTGCTGTTCACGCTGTCCTGGCTGCCGAACCACGTCCTCAACCTCTGGCGCCTCTTCGACCACAACGCACCGATGACCCCGACTATCCACTACATCAAGGTCTGTATGTGTACCTGCCTCTGTGTCTGTATCTGTATCTGCCAATGTACTGCATTTGCCTCTGTATGTGTATTTGCCTCAGTCTGTATCTGTTTCTGTATTCGTCTCTGTGCGTGTATTTGCCTCTGTGCCTTATTTTATAGTACATTTATGACAAACAATTCATTTAAAAGATCACCGGCGTTAAAACTATAAAGCATTATACATAAATTTTAAAATCTGTCCACAAAAACAACAATATCAACGTAAACACAGAGCTTTGTGGGCACCACATCATCGACAGTATCGGCGAAGAAGGACTTTATGATATAATATTATAAAAAAGGTTATCACAAGCTATCAAGTGGGGGTAGTTTCACTCTACAACAATTCTAGGGGAGAAGGAAATCTTGAACACCTAACTTCTTGTGTTAGCGATCGTGACTGTTTCTTGTTCTGTTCGAAGGTCGTTGCCCTCTGCCTGAGCTACGCCAACTCGTCGGTCAACCCCATCGTCTACAGCTTCATGGGGGAAGACTTCCGCAAGAACTTCAAGAAGGCGTTCCCAAAGTGCTTCAAGATCAACGCCGTGGCCCCCGCCAACGATCAGCTGCAGCTCGCTGTGCCGGGGCCGAGCGGCAACAACAAGGCGGGCAACGCGACGCCCGACGAGGCCGGCCCGTCCACTCTGAAAACGAGCTCGACTAGTAAAGACATGCAGACATCTGCATGAGCGCATTTTCCTTTTCAGTCTCCAAGCAGATATTGGAAGATCGTAACAATCTATGTCGTTTATCGGACAATGGGATCCCCTTAGGCTACCGGACTGTTTTGTTTTAGGCCCCGGATTTTTTTCTACCTGCCAGTAAAAATTAAACTCATTAACTCGGAACCTAATTGTGTTGAGCCTCACATTCCCCCTCCCGGTGCCTGGCAGTTCACTGGTGTTGAACCAAATCCTTGAGCTGCCACATACGTGAGAAGTCAGGTGTTTAGGACTAGGGTTAGGGTTGGTATTAGAGTTAGGGTTAGAATTGAGATCATTGTTCAGGGCTAGGGTTAGACTTACGATTGGGGTTATGTTAGGTTTAGTCTCCCACATCATGACTAAACACCTCCCACCCCTTGTCTCCCAGGTATATTGGAAACCCCCAAGTAGTGACGGAGTCATGTATTTGGTAGGATCATGTATTTGGCTTGACACCGGGACCTACACCCCACGTGGGCATTGGTGTAATTGTGACCTAAGTATAAGTCGGCGTCACAGTTTCGGTCGAAGTTGTCGGTCGCCAGAAAGTCACAGAATTTCAAAAAAGTCACAATTTAGTGTATCTTATTCACCAAAGATTTTACATCCATGTATAAATATTATGTATGGATATAATAAATCTAAATACAAATAATATCGGGCCATCACTGAAAATTGAGCAGTGGTCGAGGCCACATTGGTTGTATTTCTACCCAAAAATGATTCAATGAGCTGTTTTAGTTTCTTGCAGTGTGACAACCAGAGAAAATAGGAGTCACAATAGGAAAGATTGCGATCTGTCCCCCAATATCTGCTTGGAGAATAATCCTACAATATGTCACAAGATACCCGTCAGTTCTACAAACACTATAGTACAAAGGCGAGATTATCTTGTCTTCTAACCACCTTAAGGCCTTGGCGACTTCGGGATTGATGTCTGAATCTTTTCCCGAAGAAGCAGAGAATGAAACTGCCAGAGAACAACTAAAAAAGAATATTTGGCGCGTAGAATGCAAAATATTGCCAACAGGATTCAGCTAAATCCCACATACACACCCATCCATCTAATTTCTTCATATCAATATGAAACAAGTTTGAACTGCAATTTCCAACACAAGAAAATTGGAATTAACCCAAATTTTCGACTGTACAAGTCCAGTCTTTGTCAAGGAATGGGCAATCCACCGCTTCCGTGACGTCACGCAGATAACACACGTGACTCTGTGAGCAGTGGATCATAGGTTGAAGAAAGTCTGTGGCGCCCCCCGTCGCCATCAGGTTGGCTTTCATCGATGGAAACAGTTTTAGTCATAACGAAGAGAGAAAAGTTATCACCTACTCAAGAAAAAATGTTTCCCTGCATATTGAACTAATAACTAGTGTATATAATGTACATAGAATCTCCTGGTCTTGCGGCTAGTTGAGGAATAGCTATTTTATTATTAAAGCTATACTAGAAGATTTGAGAAATTTTCGAAGTATGCGTTTGAGAAACTGAACTTAAGAAAATAGATATGGCGTCGGCATTCTTAAGAGATCATGTCTTATGAAAAATTGAAGACAGTAAGTAAATTCACAATAGGGTGAGAGTATGGGTTTTCCCAGGCAACAGAATACATTTGTATTAACTGTACATAGCCATAGCTTCTTACCAGTAACTTCGGGAATTTAGCTTTTTTCACTCACGTACACACATTTTTACTTGATGATAAAGAAACATCCCCTGCTTTGACAGAAATTTTCTACGAGATATATTTGTAGGCTAATCGGTTTACATGATCTCACAGTGTTGCTGGGATTACAGACAATGACGCTACAGGAAATTCACAACATTTCCTAGTGCCTGGTATTACATTCTTAAAGCAGGCCTGAACGCGACTCAATCTCGCGTTGAAGTCTAACGCGTAGTGGGCGGTTTTTCTTAGCTTTTAGGATTGGGAAATTATTCCGATTTTAAAGAATGGGAAATTATTCCCATATTCGCCAGAGTATTTTTCTAGGAAACTGATAGAAGAGAGTGTAACGATTCAAATACAACTCAAGTATATCTTGAATCGCAATAGCGTTAGTAGAATATGGTGGTTTCTTGTCATGCTAGTGCTCGAACCAAGAATCGGAGTTTTTATGATCGAGATATTGAAGGGGTGTAAAGCGGCCTCGTGGTTTTGTTTTCCTAAGTTCTAAACCCTGGCAGGCGTCAGTGCTTGGAAGGCATTTGACACCTATTTTGTCCACTCAGGTGAAAATGAGTACCTACTAGGGACGTAAAACTGGAGGTCCTGTGTTTGGGGAGAGCCACACCTCGAGCACGTTAAAGAACCCACCACACTTGTCTAAAAGAGTAGGGGTCCTTCCCGGTGTGAGTGGCTCAAATCTTCCAGTCTCTTCATGTGTTGAAAAGGCAATACATTTACCAGTTATGTCACAAATCTCAATAAATGAAGTAGATGAGATACAACAGGACAAAAAAGAAGAAAAAAAAGAAAAAAAGAAGAAAAAAAATCTTGTTCATAGGGAAAAGCCATAAACAAGTGCTTCCTGGTACCTTAGACCAGTAGTAGACGTCACATGTCCATTAGATCACGTGTCCTTCGTGATTGGGCATCCAACATCCAACCCTGAGGAAGACTGTAGTAGGTCAGCCAAAATCCTATGCATGTCTCTTATGCATGCATTACAATCAAGCTCAACTATGTTTTGACATAGTTAAAAAAACTACCAATACGTATTCTCGATAGTTATGGCTGCTACTGTTCAATACTTTGCTCTAATCATCACAATGAACGTTGGTAGAATAATGCAATGACGTGGTGATTCCATGTGATCATCGCAATAAACGTCGGTAGGAGATGCAACTAAATGTGATTTGATCTAATCATTGCAGTAAACGTTGGTAGAAGATGCAACTAAATGTGGTTCGATCTAATCATTGCAGTAAATGTGACTTGATCTAATCATCGCAGTAAACGTTGGTAGAAGATGCAACTAAATGTGGTTCGATCTAATCATTGCAGTAAACGTTGGTAGGAGATGAAACTAAATGTGATTTGACCTAATCATTGCAGTAAACGTTGGTAGGAGATGAAACTAAATGGCGATTCGATCTAATCATCGCAGTAAACGTTGGTAGGAGATGCAACTCAGTGGTGATTTTGTGTAATCATCACAATGAACGTTGGTAGGAGAAGCAACTGAATGTGATTTGATCTGATTATTGCAGTAAACGTTGGTAGGAGATGCAACTTAATGTGACTTGATCTAATCATTGCAGTAAACGCTGGTAGGAGATGTAACTAAATGTGACTCGATCCAACCATCGCAGTAAACATTGGTAGGAGATGCAACTAAATGTGATTTGATCTAATCATTGCAGTAAACGTTGGTAGGAGATAAAATGATGTGGCAATTCACAATGAACGTTGGTAGGAGATGCAACTAAATGGCGATTCGATCTGATCATCGAAATGAACGTTAGTAGGAGATGCAATTAAGTGACGGTTTGTCAAGTTTTACGCAGAAACTACTTATTCTAGATGTATATTTAAGTGTGCCATCTTTATTCCGCTTGTTAAAGCGATTATTATAAGTTATGTAAGATTTTTCACTATTTTAAGTATCGTTGTTTTACACGCGTACGTTTTCTTGCGCTATAAGCCTGCCTACGTTCAAGAGGACAATTGGGGAGTAAAAGATCAACGTCGTTGCGTGTCGAAGCTGCCAAAGATACCCGAACGAAACCGTTGTTTGTTTACATTCATTTTAGGAGCCTCCTAAAAACACAGCGGGCGCAACTTATTCTCGCGAGTCGCGAAATAGTGACGCTAATATGTTGAAAGTTATTGAAAATACCAATCTAGACGAAAAAAAATCATCTATTTATTTTTACAGTTTTGGCGCAAAAATCTTGCATAATATCGCTTTAAGAACGGTGAGTCAATCGTCTTGCCAAGAAGAGAAATGCTATCTTTCTCTGCAAGCACGTGGGTCGTATATGGTGAACTTTAGCGTTATGTACTTCTTGTATGGTTCTCTCCTCCAAAGCACTTGTTTGCTTCCATCCAACAATTTGTGTCAAGTAGCTATGTATGAAAGTATGTTTCTTATTTTGAGGTCCTGTCACACACAGCTGAGTATATGGCTGCCCTAACACTGCCCAACTCACACAACCATGGTTAGGACTATAGGTTAGGAGCAAGGAGTGCTGTGGTTGGTTGATGTTCGGCAAGGTTGTTAATGTTGGGCGGGAGGTAGGGCAATGGTTGTAAGCTGACTGACTGGTGGTTGGCAGTCAAATTTGATTCACATTTAACTCCAATTCGATTCGTATCGAATGGTAGGCAACTTTGGTCAGACCTTGGTTGGCTGGCGGTCGGAGGGAGGTCAGTCTGAATGTGTGACAGGTACTGTAGTTGTAGTCCCGTGCTTTTGGAGATTTAGTTAAGTTGAGTGACAACTGCGGAGCCCATATATCCGGCCAAAAATAAAGATGCTACTAAACCACAGGAATACAAAGCTTGTATTGTGAAATTGCGGCAGTACATAGCGACGTATACGACAAGCCGGTACATGATGGCTTTTTGAGGAATTTATGAGTTCTTGAGTCGTGGAGCTTTATGCCGTCCTCCAGAGTTACCACCTCCGTATTGTCGCTAGCTACCATGGACTACCCAGGCCTAGAGCCTCGGAGGACGTGATCTTTTTTTTTGAGGACAGGCGAAAATCAATGCGCGCGTGGATGTCATCCAAAAAATTAAGTCGGTGTGGCCTAAGTACCCATAAAGCGACCTGTATATGTGAGATTTGAGGGTATTTCTCGTGCAACGCATCACGCCGCAGCGAAACGCAACAAATGTGGAAGTAACTGTAGGGACAAAAATTCAGGGGTCTATGACCTGATTAAATAATTGAAACCTATTGTGTAAAAAATGCCAACAGGACAAAGTTTACAAGAGCAAGCCTGAAGGGCCAGTCTAAAGATAGTAGTT